ATATACTCTTTAATTAGTTATTACAGTGAATCAAAAGAATGTCTGGAGGTTGTAAAGACCTCACCAGATCTACTCCCATAATTTGCATTTTAAGATAGCAGGATTAGCCAGAAGTTTTTTCCAGAGACTGCCCTCAAGCAGGGTACATTATTCTTATATAATCCTAAGGAATGTAGAGGGAAGTTTGTCCTTTCTTCCTCCTTGAGAATTCCAGACCCCTCTTTCCTTGGGGACCCCTAGACTTCTTATCAAACTGCCTAGGAAATGGCTCTCTCACCCCCATGGCCCTCTGTCTTCTCATCTGGCTTCATTTTCCCTCAGAGCACTTCTTCCCTTCGGTCACAGTCTTTCACTCCCTCTTAGGTGATGAAGAGCTGCAGGAGAGTGAGAGCTGTGCTTGTGTGCTGCTGTATCCCCAGGACTAGGAGAGGGTCCAGCATTCTCACTGTGCAAAACATCTTTCACAGTGTTTGTTAAAATAATGGCAGGAGTATTCAGTTTCCCTGGAGTTGATAAATGAGAGTATTTTTAGTTCTATTTGCTGTACATATGCTTGTGAATATTACATATCACTAAATAAATAAGATAAAGGTTTAAAATGTTTGACAAGCCAGAATCAAGTAGCTTTTGGCTGGAGGCACCTGGCTGTTCTTTCTCTAAGTGAACTTCAGGTTTACTGAAGACAGGAGCTGAAGTTTGGACACAAGGTGTGACCACAGTCAGACCCCTAAGCCAAATAGGATTCACATCCGGTAACTGCTCTTGGCAAAGAGGCAACAAGTACTGAGCTGCAGTGTCAGCTGACCACCATGGAGCCCTTCCTCACCATGGTTCCTGCTGCCTGGGCGCCACTGCCCTAAAGGTCACCCCACGAGGGCTCATGTGGCTGCAGATGGGTCTCAGACATTCCTGGGCAGGAAGGTGAACACCACAAGGCCCAGGTTGCACAGGCTGGCTCTTTGCCTGTGGCAGCAGAACTTCTGTGTGCATGCACCCCATGCACCCCATGCCTCCTGTATTTCAGAAGACACTGCCCCCAGTTCCCTCTGCAGCCATGTGATGAGAGGAGTCAGGGCTTGGAGTGCCGAGTAACACAAGTGGCTGCAATCCAGCCCAGTGCCCTCCCGAGGGTGCCACAGGATCATATGAGATGTTCCTGAATTATGGGGACATTTGATGACATCAGGGCAAAGATATGATCAGAGTCAATGCAATATAGCACATGTAGCCCTTTCCTAATGCAAGTTGTTTTTTAAATGTATTTTAAATTAGAGAATAATTACTTTACAGTATTCCATTGGCTTCTGCCATACAAGATGACTCGGCTGTAAGCATACATATGTCTCCTTCCTCTTGAACCTGCCCCCATGCCCCACCCAATTCCACTCCTGTAAGTTGTCATAGAGTACTACATTGAACCCCTTGTTCCAAGTTGTTTTTCAATAAAATTTTAATTTGGAATAATTTTAGATTTATAGAAAAATTGAAAATATTTGTCAAAACTGACAAGCAGCTTTGGAGCATTACTTCCAACTTAACCTCACATATTATTAGGATTTCACCCGCTTGTCCATTAATGTGTCTTCGGTTTCAGAATTCAATCCAAAACCTACACACACCGCATTAATTATCATGTTTCCCCAGTGTCCTCTGCTCCGTGGAGTCACTCATTCTCTCCTGGTAATAGCTTACACGTATGGAGTTCGGTGATGAGTTTGTGGTCTCCAAAGGAGAAGATTTGACTCCAGGACCAAAGACAGCCTCAGTCACTCAAAGAATTGTGCAACAAAGATTTTTCTTTAAAGTGACAGGACAGAGAAAGCTTCAGACATGGATATCAGAAGGGGGTAGAAAGAATACCTACCCTCACTAGTTTAAGCATGGCATTATGTACTTCTCAACTGGCTGCTGAGAACAGATAAACAGAATACCTCAAGGTTGTAAGAGTTCCACCAGATCCTTTCTGAAGGCATATATCCTGAGCTAACTTCAGCACAAGATTAGCCAGAGAGAATGGGTCCTGTCAGGGAGAATGGTTCTGTACAACTTTTCTGGGTGAAATATACTGTTGCTGTGTAATCAGGGGTACAAGTCTTGAGTAACAGGTTCCCAGACAAGTTTTGTTATGATTATAATCATTAACATAGAGGGTAAGAAGAACATTCCCATGATCATAATTTCTGGACTGAAAGAAAGGCCAGTTCTTGGGTAAGATACATTGTTGCCCAAGGCTTAAGGAAAGCATGAGATAGAATGTTCACCTTCTTAAAGGGCGCTGCACTGCCTAAGCTTTAAATCTTATGGGTTTGTCCTGGCCTTGGACATCCTAGGAGGACTGGCTAGGGATGGTAGAAGGTCCTCAAAGCTGAATTTGTCTGCTGTATAGCAGACAAATGTAGAGTGGAGGAGGAAACAGCAGCTTACTCCAGTATTCTTGCCTGGAGAATCCCATGGACAGAGGAGCCTCATGGGCTACAGTCCATGGGGGTCACAAAGAGTGGGACACAACTGAAGCAACTGAGCTTAGCAGAGAGTGGGGTTTAGACTTTGGGTTTGGGGCAAGACACCACAGAGGTGAAGTGCCCTTCCTGTCTCCTTACATCAGAATACTCAGGACAGCTGTGTGTTTTACCACTGGGTGTATCATCTTTGACTATTGATTAACATTGTGTTTGTCAGAGTTGCACTGCTTGCCCCTTCTCCTCCCCTCTTCTTTTCTTTGGAGATGAGTTACTAAGTCACGCTCAGGGAGGAGTGAAGGGCAGTATGTTCTCCATCCTGGAGGGGATAATTTGGTTGTTTTTAGGGATGTTTCAGTAAGAAATAGTTGTCTCCAGTTTCATCCATCTCATTAGAACTGATTCAAATGAATTCTTTTTAATGGCTGAGTAATATTCCATGGTGTATATGTACCACAGCTTCCTTATCCATTATACAGAGTGAAGTAAGCCAGAAAGATAAAGACCATTACAGTATACTAACACATACATATGGAATTTAGAAAGATGGTAACAATAACCCTATATGGAAAACAGAAAAAGAGACACAGATGTATAGAACAGACTTTTGGACTCTGTGGGAGAAGGCGAGGGTAGGATGTTTTAAGAGAACAGCATCGAAGCATGTATATTATCTAGGGTGAAACAGATCACCAGCCTAGGTTGGATGCATGAGACAAGTGCTCGGGCCTGGTGCACTGGGAAGACCCAGAGGGATCGGGTGGAGAGGGAGGTGGGAGGGGGGATCGGGATGGGAATACATGTATATCCATGGCTATTCATTTCAATGTATGACAAAAACCACTACAATATTGTAAAGTAATTAGCCTCCAACTAATAAAAATTAAAAAAATTAAAAAAAAATAAAGAAAAGCTCTGCTGCATGTTTGAAAAGCTACCAGTAAATTAAATTAAAATTTGAAATTGAATAAATATTCATTTAATAAAAAAAAAAAAAGAAATAGTTGTCTCTTCACTATGTTATTTGAGTTTAGTTCTGTTTAAATTGTCTAGGTCTTTGTTGCGGTGTGTGGGCCTTCTCTTTGCAGAGCACATTCTCTCTAGTTGCAGCAGGAGAGTTTTTAGTTGCCCCAGGGCAGGTGGGAGCTTAGTTCCCTGACCAGGGAGTAAACCAATTACTGCTGCATTGGAGAACATATTCTTAACCACTGGACCACCAAGGAAGTCCCCATTTATTTACTTAATCATTTGCTTGTATTGGTATGGACTCAAACATATTACACTTTACTTTGGGTTGTCATCCAATACTCTGTAATATATTTTGCCTGTCAGACCATTTCCAGTTTGGCCATTGGGAGTGTCTCAGACATCCTTTTATTTTATTTTATTTTGGTTCTTAGTAGGACCTTTTTAAAAAAAAAACTTATTTATTCTAATTGGAGGCTAGTTACTTTACAATATTGTAGTGGTTTTTACAATATATTGATATGAATCAGCCATGGATGTACATGTGTTTTCCATCCTGAACCCCCCTCCCACCTCCCCATCAGACTTCCTTTTAGAGTTTCAAGGTCCATTTCATCTTGTTTGTGCTAACTAACTGCTCTCCTAGCACGGAAGTTTGATTTTGACAATGAGAGAGTTTTCAGATGTGGAATGCCACCTCTGATGGCCCAGCCCTCTGGGCCTTAGAACTCCTGTCCTTAAAGTCGTGTAGGGCTGTGGACCTCAGAGTCTCTGATGGAGACAAACCACACAACCTCACAGCTGCTCACTGATGCTTCTGGATAGACTGTGCAGTGCTAGTACCTCTTGAGACCAGGTTCACTGATGGAAGAGGATGAGACAACCAGAAGGGGCAAGTCTGGACCACTGGGGGTCCAGAATGTTTCCAGGAACTTGTTTCCTTAAGGGTTTGAAAAAAGTTGGTGGCATGATCCGAAATTATCAGAATTATCAGTGCCAGAGAAAATTCACCTGGTGCAGGTCCTGTGAGTTCCTTCTTGGGAATGATTTGGAGCCCAAGACTGCTGTCCAGCAGTGCAGAGCCCCTGCCTAGGGGCTGCAGATGTTAAGATATTTGAAGATGCAGGAAGGCCCAGCTCCCCATTCTTATCTCCAGGACTTCAACTTGGGGAAAAAAGAAGGATTCTGGATGACCTTCTTTCTACCTGGGAGTGGGGTAGACCTGTCCTTGGCCCTCCTGATATTCTATCTTCTCAGTGTGGGAGAGTGTTGCCTCAGAGCCAGGATAGATTGGGGGAAGGATGACCAGGAAAACAGGTGATGGTTGGGGCTGGGACAACAGAGCATTTGGCTCCAAATGGAGTCAGTTAGAAATGTCAGCTCCACTTGATCTTTGGCAAAGATGCTACCACAAGTTCTCTCTGAGCACTGTTCTCAGAGCAGGATGAGCTTCCAAGTAAACACCCAAGATCCAAGGGAGTCACCTATGCCAGGTTACTGGCCACAGACCTGTGGTCCTCCTGGGAGGTATGTGGGCTGGGTTTGGGGAGCTAGTGGTTTATAATGCTGAAGAAACCCTGCCCTGAGCAGAGCACTATAGCTGCCGCCATGATGAAGGGAGCACTGCTTGTGCTGACCCTGCTGGTGACCAGAGAGCTGGCCTTCAACATGCCTGAGGGTAGGAAGGAGGTTCCAGATGGCCCTCCTGATCCTTGCCCCTTGCTGTCTCACTGCATCCTCCACAGTCCTGTCCAAACTGCTTTTAAGGACAGATTCCAAGGACAGCTGACAGATCAGTGCCCAGGAATCCTGCAGAAATTCCTTGAGTCTGTCAGTCTTTTTATGTAAAGGGCAGTGTGGAGCTGAAAGGATCATTAACTGTGCAAACCCTGGGGAATAGTTTGTTGGGGGTATGGGTGATCATTGGGAGGGAGGGAGCAGGCTGATAAGGCTGGCAATGGTGGTCAAGTTCAGAGGGGCCTCCAGGCCTCACCCCTTTTGCTGCTCCCTCTGCTGGGAGGTTTTCTGTCTGGGATGTTAATCAGTTCTGGAGAGGCTGTGTCTCTGTGGGAGGTGAGTCTGAATGCTTTGGATGTGTGACTTCCTATCAAGTGGTGGAAACAGGAGCCTCCTACTCTGGTTATTCTTTGACAAGATGTTTTTTGTCTTTCTTTCAGTGGAAGCCTGCCCTGTGTTTTATGGTGGAGTTGCCTCGCTGTTACTTGGAAGCAAAACATTGTTGAACTCAACCCTCGATTTGGTTGATAGTACTGATGAGGAAAAGGCAGCCTTTGGAAAAATCCAGGATTGCTTCAATGAGGAGGGATTTGATGCCAAGCTGCATATTTCACAAATCGTGGTAATTTACTCTCCTGACCTCACTCTTCCCTGCTCACTGACAAGCATAGTGTGGTATGCCACATGGGAAGAGATCATGCAGTCATGGGATATGTGACGGACAGGAGCTATCAGCAAAGAAGCTCATGAACCTTTGCTCCACCCTGGCAGCACCTGTAATATGCAAAGGCAGTCCATGTGCACATCCAGCCTCTGTTGTTGCCAAATATGCCCACAGCGTGCGAATCAACTCTCACACACAATAGGGTTGCGAGGCCAAGTGTGTTGAGGCAGGTGATTGTTTTTTTCCTCAGTGAGTGGAACTAGTATTGACGGAGTAGAATTTTAATGTTTGGCAGGAAAGGAAGATTTCAGCTCACACACATGTAGGAATCATGTCAGTTCTACTCTAGGAATATTGAAAAGGAGCCCCTGGCTTTAGAGTCTTTTTCCAGCAAGGGACTCCCTGTCTTTGTAAGGTTTCATCACCTCCTCTTGTTCCCACTCTGTGGACCATTGCTCTGGCTCAGAGCCCCATTTCCGCAATGTGGTCTCTGTGTCCACAAACTCGATTTTCCACTGTGGTGTTTTGGTGCCCCAGGCTCCTGAGGAGCCTTCTAGATACCTGTGACTGCTCACCTTGGCTAGCAGTGTATCTCCCGAAGAACCATCATTCCTTTATAGTTCTTGTCAAACAATACTGGAGATTTTGGATAGTCTGTCTCAACATTTTTTTCCTCAAATTTTTGATTGTTCAAAACGAGAGGCTTCCTGCAAACAGTTTCATGCACTAATAGGAGCACACAGAGCACATGGGTTTGTTCACGACTCCTGTATGCACATTCTGTCCATCCAGCACACCTGCAAGAAGAGGCTCAGTTGCAGGAGGTGTGACCCACACCCAGACACCAGCCCCTTCCTCCTCCCTTAGGACCCGCCCCGCGTGTGCCCTGCTGACCTTTATTATCTCCTCCTCTCCCTGGGGTGGCTGGTGACTAGTCTCCATCCTGAGACCTGTGCTTGGGCTATTAGGGAGCCATCCCCCTGGTGCCTGCTGGCAGCCTCCTCTCCATTGGTGGGTCTGTGGGCAGAGTTTCTTGCTGGGGAGGGAGCTGAATCCCTGAGGGTATATCATGTGGTGATGCTGGGTAGACAGGATAGTCCTGCTGTGGGCTCAGGTGTTGTCCCTCCTCCTACTCCCTCCCAGGTTTCCATCATCTTCGACAAGGATTGCTCCGGCTATCAAGTGTCCACGGTTCTGAGTACTGTTTTTGGAATAATTCTCAGTGCGGTTTCTTTGGTGAAATAGTCTTTGCCAGTGATGCCTGGCCTTTCATCCATATTCTCCCCTGTTATTCTCACTGTAGCTGGAATCCTGACACCTGTCCCTCCTATGTGGTCTCTATCAGGCTTACTCTAATAAAATCACTGCAGCATTCTTCAGTGTGCCCAGTGTCTGTCTGCTGTGGGGAGGACATGAAGCAGGAGGTCTTGGGTGATGGTGAAAAGTGACCCACGTAGTCACTGTGGGGAATATGGGGACCGGGATCAGACAGAATGAGGTAAACCTAGGCCCTGCCTTGACAAACTGTAGAACCATGGGCGAGTTTATTGTAACTTTCTCAAGTCATTCTGTCATCTGTTAAATAGGGGTTGTGTATGAAGATTAAGCAAAAGAAGATATAAGTAACCCTTGTCATCACCAGCCTGGAAAGATAAAGTTGTTATTTATGGTCACAGCTAGCATATCTCACTCTGGCTTTTAGCACAGTGGCAGAGCCTTTAGTCCTTTAAGTGTCCTTTCAGTTATTTATGAGTGACTACCCCTGCCCAGGACCCCCAGTAAGTGTTGGATTGCTGGGGTCCAGCCTCGGCAGGATCCAGTGGTACCCTCAGGATGAATGGCGTCAGCGAGAGAGAGAGAGAAAGAGAGAGAGAGAAAGAGAGACCAGACTGGGGGTGTGCAGCAGAGTCTGGCACTGTTTTGTTTTTTACCATAGCTTTTATACCCTAAGTTAGTACATTTCTGAGGGGAAGATAGTTTAACATTACATCAGCTTGTCCTTCCTGAAACCAGGGTGTTTTCTGCATACTTCTTTGTGAGAGTCTTGTACATTATCTTCTGGCCTTGGGGCCTATTGACATTTTATGACCTAGATGAATGCAAAGCTGTTTTCCGTAATCTATCCTTCATTGAACACAAGGGTCAGTCCTTTTGCAAAAGTTATCAGTTAAATTTATCTAAAAGGTTTACTACACGAAGACTCTGCAGCTCTGGTGAGGCAGCTCCTGTTTAGCATTCCTGGTTAAAATTAACAATTCTAAACTCTTATTTTTCTAAATCTTTAACTATAACCACTTTTAGAATAATATTTTTGTGTTCTCTAATAAGGCTTCCTCACCCCCCACCCCCCTGAAGGGCTCTGTGCCCATTAGGGCCTTTTGTGTAATCAGGTTCTTTACGCTGTTTATGATTAAGGTGTTGTGAGCAGTCATGTGCATTAGGACGCATTTGCCAAGCAGGCTACAATGCCAGCAAAGGAGTCTAAATTGAAACACTCCTTTCATCCTGGATAATCTTATAGAATACCACCATCTGGGGGACATATTAATTAAAGTTATAAGTTGATTCTGTTTGGAAAGAGATCAGGGAAGGCCTTCTACCTGTGTCACAGAAATTAGGGAGTAGTCTAATATAGCAAGCATCAGAAAGACAGATATCATCTTTAAGGTGAGTGCCGGGGCAGCTTTTCAAAATCCCTGAAGTCCTGATCTGCCTTGCTTGTCAGGTCTTCTCCTCATGACCTTGTCATGGGTGGGATCTCGTGTGCTGGCTCCTGGCATTGGACCAGGAGGAAGGGAGTGGATGGTAGAAGCTACCCCTGCAGGAATGTTGTTTCTGTGGAAACATCTCAAGCTGTGAAGTGTGAATTGCAGAATGTGCCACATGAGTGAGTGTCCTGAATGCCCCAGCCTATTTCTAAGAGTATGAAATAGGTAGCTGCATTACTAGTAGGAAATTTGTGAAGGTACAAGGAAAGGACTAGGTTTTATCCTAGGGTCTAAGCCTCTGTAGGCTACTCTTAGCATGACCCACAAAAAGAGTGGCACTACTGGTAAAATGTCTCTACCTGCTGGCCGAGCAGGTAATATTCTGGGAGCTGAAGTTTGGACTTGGGGTAAGCGGTGAGGGCCTTGAGTCCCGGCTCTTCTTTGATCTGCTACCCGAGTATAGGCCTTTAAATTCATTTTTGTCCTTTCTACAACTTGATTTTACATATACCCAGGGCTGGATGCTCTTCTAGACTTAGTTTTAAGTGCTCAGGTCATGCTAAAGAGGTCTAAAATGTTGTTGAAAAGTACAAAATAAAAATTGAACAGATGAAGGGCAAAATTGTATTCTTGTATGAGGTGAATTGATATCCTAGAATTTCAGCTAAAGATTTTTTTTTTCACTATTCCATGTGTGAATCAAAATCCAAAGAAAATTCTCTATCATGTTTAATTGTTAGGTTACTTACCACTTCCTGCCTATTCTTATAATAGTGTAATTTTTTTTTACCTTAATAGATGGTGAAATGAAGTCATTTTAGTCTAGAATATCCTTGTATAATTAACTTATTCCTTCCTTACAGGATCACTGAAATTATCTCTCTAGTACCTAGTTTCTTCTCACATATTAATTAGATTTAATTATGATTTGATTTAGATTCATATTTTTATCATATATGGATGAATCTAAGCAATGCATTCTTATGTACAAAGAGCCATTTGACAGGGACATTTCTAATCAACACATCAGGCAGTACTGAAAGGAGGTCCAGCTGACTTTATAAGGCTTCTTGTGGTATGAGGAACTCAGCCTCACTTATCAACTACCTTTCATAAATGAAACCAAATTTTCATTGCTGCTAGGTTAGATGATAGTCAAAAATAAAAGATTAAAGGGTTACAGAGAAAACCAATTCAAAAATGTTGATTTTTTAAATTAATCTTTTTAAAATCTGCAAGACCACTGACACTTTTTGGTCCCAGATGGGCATAGAAGTTGGGGAACCTCTTGTTCAAGCACCCAAATATTTTGAGAAATTCCTAAAGACCTCCACCCTTTGTGAAACCTATTATTATCTAAGGCCACATACCTAATTATTGTATTATTGTTGTTTGTTCAGTCTCTAAGTCAGGTCCAGCTCTTTGATACCCCATGAACTGCAGCATGCCAGGCTTCCTTGTCCTTCTCTACATACCAGAGTTTGCTCTAACTCATATCCATTGAGTCAGTGATGCCATCCAACCATCTCATCCTCTGTCACTCCCTTCTCTCCTGCCCTCAATCTTTCCCAGCATTGGGGTCTTTTCCAAAATGTTGGCTTTTTGCATCAGGTGCCCAAAGTACTGGAGCTTCAACTTCAGCATCAGTCCTTCCAGAGAATATTCAGAGTTGATTTCCATTAGGATTGACTGGTTTGATCTTGCTGTCCAATGGAATCTCAAGAGTCTTGTCCAGCATAAATTCTTTGGTGCTCAGTCTTTTTTTACAGTATGACTCTCACATCTACATGACTACTGAAAAAACCATAGCTTTGACTATATGAACTTTTGTTGGCAAAGTGATGTCTTTGCTTGTCAATACACTGTGTATCCTTGCCATGGCTTTTATGTTACTAACCCAGTTACCAGTATCCTTGAACACTTACTCTTATCAGATGCTACCCTGGGTACTACACGTAATATAATTAATCCTAACAGCAAGGTAGGTAAGCCACTTGATAGGTCGAAAGGCCCAGAGAGTTTCAGAGAATTAAGTGGCTTATTCACACCAGGTAGAAAATAAATTATGTATTAAAGTATGTAATAAGAATTCATTTGGGGGGTCATTTCTATATTTCTGCTCATGATTGTTTCCTTTTGGAGTGACATATTGTAAGTCATCAACTATTAGATCTATATTTATTTATTTATTTATTATTTATTTTTATTTTAATTGGAGACTAATTTACTTTATGATATTATAGTGGTTTTTGCCATACATTGTGATGAATCAGCCATGGGTGTACATGTGTTCCCCATCCTGAACACCCCCCCCCCACCTCCTTCCTCATCCCATCCCTCAGGGTCATCCCAGTGCACCAGCCCTGAGCACCCTGTTTCATGCATGAACCTGGACTGGTGATCTGTTTCATATATGATAATATATATGTTTCAATGCAATTCTCTCAAATCATCCCACCCTCGCCTTCTCCCACAGAGTCCAAAAGACTGTTCTATACATCTGTATCTCTTTTGCTGTCCCACATATAGGGTCACCATTACCATCTTTCTAAATTCCATGTATATGCTTTAATTAACTGTATTGGTGTTTTCTTTCTGACTTACTTCACTCTGTATAATAGGCTCCAGTTTCATCCACCTCATTAGAAACTGATTCAAATGTATTCTTTTTAATGGCTGAGTATTATTCCATTGTGTGTATGTACCATGGCTTTCTTATCTATTCATCTGCTGATGGACATCTAGGTTGCCTCTATGTCCTTGCTATTATAAACAGTGCTGCAATGAACATTGGGGTACACATGTCTCTTTCAATCCTGGTTTCCTCGGTATGTATGCCCACAAGTGGGATTGCTGGGTCGTATGGCAGTTCTATTTCCAGTTTTT